TTTCCTACACATGCCTTTGATATCCAATGTCACATTAAGAACGATTGTCAACTAACTCAAGTTTACAATAAGTAGCTGCCAAGTGATGCATAAAAAATACATATACTTTTTTCATTTTTTGCTCAGCAAGAAATTTTTATTAAAGAAGAAATTTTTCACCTAAATTGTAACTCTTGTTAAAAATCTCCCTAAACTAGGTGGAGGAAAAGAGTACTGACGATTAGGACCAAAACCACACACATAGACCAACTATCACTCGAAAGAAAAAACGACAAATAACAGAAAACACCCCAACAACAACCATCTAAACCGGCTGCCTGCACCCAACATTGAGCGTCCATGTAAATGCCTACCATAGAAACAAAAAGATAGTAATAGAATATTGAACCATCTAAAAATACATATACTTATACATTTCAAAAACATAGTTTTCAAACTAAGGCGTTTCTCGTGATAAAAAGTAATAGAATATTGAACTGTCTCCACTCATTCTTGGACAGGAAACTGTCTCTACTCGTCCATAACTAAATTCAGAATATCTTGTAAACATAATTTATAAAATCATGTACGCATCATAAGGTAACATCGTGCTCATGAATAAACATGTTTAATCATCATCATCATCGTAAAATGTTCACATGAAAGAAATCAATACCAAAACATAACGTTAACTCACTCTTAGTTTCACTAAAAAGCTTACCATTCTAGCCTTCAATTAACATTACCAATGTTCATTATATAAGAACGAATAGGCACTCACCACTACCGCTTTTACCACTCGAAATCGATCCGAACTTACACCAACCGAACACCAAACAATAGTACACAAATTTTACTCCATCATAGACCTAATTATTACCATAGAAACTATAAAAGAATGTCACCAAAGTGCTCAAAACAGAGCAGAAAAATCTGATACAAAACAGAGCAAAAGCGTCGATACAACCAAAAATTTTACCATTCTTGAACCTGAAACTTTCCAAAACTTTAACACAATCCAAAGCAATTTAAATAAGCTTTTAAACATCAAATAACCGTCCCAAAACAGAAGCAACGGAAATGATTCCCGAATTTTTGAAATATATCAAAACTAAGCTTTTTTTTAAAAAAAACTTAAATGAAATCCAATTCCAATTGAAAACCTTTTTTAACCCAATATTTACCTCATCATTAACATATAAATTGTCATAAGAAAACCCCTAATCAACTCAAGAAAGTAAGCTTTTGAATTTATTCTGAAAATCCTTTTTAATCATCCAAACACCAATATCTCATTGAAAACTATTATCCATCAATATAAAAGGATCTCGCATAAAGGAACCAAGAAAATGAAGTTTACCTTGCTTGAAATTGATTGAAGAAGAAGAAGAACAAAGGAAGAAAACAAGGAACTCTTTTAAGCTAGAGTAGTCCACGGTTAAGAGGACGAAATGGAAGTTTGAAAATCAAATTTGGGAATGAATTTAATCAAGAATAAAATAAACAAAAAGGTTTGGGAGAAGAGAAATGAAGGTTTTAGACATTGAATAAACAATAGGAAAAATGAACATGTTTTTGGATGAGTATAAAAATATTACGAAAAAGTTATATTTAATTTGGATAAAAAGGAAAATTAGATTAAATCATTTAAAGTAAATTAAAAATCAAAATAAAGAGTTTAAAAATCAAGAAGAGTATAAAAGTTTAAGTTTATAAAAAAGAAAAGAAAATAAATGGATAATATATCTCTTGGTAAAATCGCTTCATAGATTTGATAATCAATCCTATTCCATTTTGGCCACTAAAATCACACTTTTTTAAATCATTCAATTAACCCAGATTAAAATGAATAATAATATTCTAAAATAATTTCCAATTTAAAAATTCTAAAAATTATGAATTTTCTGGAAATCTCAAAAATTTACCAAACCACCGACCCAAACTACTAACCTGAATTTTAGGATGTTATACCGCACTCTATGGCATAATGCATAATAGTATGGAATTAACTTACTATAAGCATGTCAATTATACCAAACAATCTCAATGTACATATAATGGGTATTTTTATCAAATTCATATAGCTTTTTTTTCATTGGAACTATCACTCCATACTCGTAGATCAATTATCATATTACAGTGCATTGGGCAGTTCATACCAGAAATATTTCATTTTCACATAACTTGAATATATTATAAAAATATCATTAACCACTTATCTTTTAAACATATAGGCATCATATACATCATATGATTAACATCATAATCATCGGTAATATAATAGAGTGGGCTCAATTTGAACATTTAAAAAAGCATATAGCCTAAAAATAACATAAAATGCATGATTTTTCACAATATCCTATTATTGTAGTTTGAGCTACCCGTAGAGAATGAATATTATGTTTTTAAATACACACTTAAAATTTATTTCGTTGATACCATTAGAGATTATACTTAAATATGAATCTAACCATATAAGGTACTCTTTCTAGTTCAACTTTTACAATTTATGATGAATTTTCTAATCTAGCGTACAAAATAAGTTTTCAGCAGAATCTGTTGTCTTGGTTTATGACCAATCATCAATTAAAAATTCATATCTTCTAATGTATAGTTCAGAATAAATTTATGTTTATTTTATAAAAACTAGATTGGCATAAAAATCAAATGGTATAAAGAAATTGTGGCAATTTTTCAAATTTACTATCAATATCATAGAATCTTGGAAAATTTTATTATTTTCATCTTTTGCTTTTTCACTAATTCAGAATGGACCTATATGCATCAACCATAAAGTCACATAACATTTAGGAGTCACTTATTACTGTAGTGATTCCGTCACTGACCCATCGCAAGCCAATGTTTCCACAATAACATAAATACAAACTAAATATGCACTCATTTTTGTACTTTTTCCTTAACTTTAAGCTTGCTTTGATCTCGATTCGACCACATTCTACATGAATATCATTCACAAAAAATATGCATTTCAAAGTACATGTTAGTATCTTACTAACATAGGCACATAATTGGAAATAAATTCCTTAAATTTCTTTCAATCCGTTTTCACAAGGGATCGATCCAACGCAATGTAGTATGTTTGGGATCGATCCTTTGGGACAAGAGACCAATCATTTTTCTTGGAAATTGCATAATTTCATATGATTATGCAAAAATGAGTTGGTAAACTTCCACTTAATCATTCCTAGGGTCCAAATACATATATGTAAATGCCAAAAACACTTCATACACATCATAATACACTTGTAGCATGCTTTAAAACACCAGTCAACACATCATAATGAAATATAGCATTAAAAGTAAAAAATTACATAAACAACTTACTTTCTCATAAGTCACCTAGCCAAATGAAAAGAAGACTCTCGTTTCATGCTTCCAAAGTCACTAACCTATTATGTTAACTTAACTTAACTTGTCTAGGACATTCAAACACTTATTTATGTTCATAACAACGTTTTACATCTACTACCTACATGAGATCAATAACTATCACCTATTCACAATATCATCATCATCATAACATACTACCAAGTAATTCAAGAGATCAAATCCTCACTAAAATATTTACAAACTTGACAACACCAAAAGTTAACAAAAATCTCAACATATCATTCCCACATTGCCTCTAACCAACACATGGCTCACATACACTTATAAAAGCCAAGTTTTATTTGATCACCACTGGACAACACTTCCACAGCAACAAACCAGCCTCTAATTCTATGCAAAAATGTATTCAAAGGAGTGTGAGCTTAAAGCCCAGAAAATGTCTTTACCTTCTATCATAATGCACATAGTAAAAATTAACAAAAGTGGCACAAACGTTGTAAAATCTTTCTCCAAGCATATCACAATCTTAGTTAATCTAAATCCACAATGTTTCATTACACATAACTTAACATCTTACTCAATTTCAGGATTATAACATGCTTGGTAATTTAATGATTAACAATGCGATACACAATCTCACATGCACCATTACCTTATTCGGAATTCTATACACACAACAAACATAATAATCTCTTTTAAGACCATTGGTAGTTGTTAAGAACATAACTTATCTATGGATAAATGGAATCCATACCTCACATTTTATTTAGGTCTCACATAGGTTCCAACTTCCATATTTTGAAGTAAAGCTCAACGTACCAACACTACAAGAAAATATACCTTTAATGACACACGCTAATTTATGACTTGCAAAACATGTGTGTCATAAAATAAATGTCATGTTTTTTTAAAATCTGAACGATTTATGACTTATAATAATGTGTGTCATATTTAATAGTCATAATCCATAAAATTTGCAAAAACACGGAATATACTTTTTAATTGTGTCATCTTTAGGAGTCGTATTCTAATTTCCCCCATTATTTTCATCCTTTCCCGCTTATTCCCCCGCCTAATGTTTTCCACTCCTTTCATTCTCTCCTTTTCTCTCCTGCTTTTCATCCCGATTCTCTTCTTCTTGTTAGGCCCGAGTTTGAATCCGTAGCCTCTGCTGCCCATTTTCGCCTCCGATGAACTCGACGATCTCCGTCTCTTCCACCGCGCCACCGTCTCTCCCTCCGCCTTGTCCTCACAATGATCCCACTCTCTTGTTCTATAATATCAGTACGATATTTTTGTTTTTTTGGTTTTCTGTTTAGTTGTATTTACAACTTTAAGCAGACGAATCAACCCTCTTCTTCTTGTTTGCTTTGTAAGTTTCCTCTTTGTTTTGTCTATATATTTGTTACTCAGTTTAAAATACGAGTCTATTATCTAACAAAATGTTAATGGTGATTTTCATGTTTAGTTTTTGCAGATGTTGCAGAAAACTAAGATTCCAGAAAAACCCATGTTTAAACCTGAATTCCCTCCTCAAGGTTTATTCTATTACCGCTTTTTTCACTGTTTTGTTATTTGTTTCATTGTAACCTAAAGAGTTATTAAACACGTTGTTTAGCGGGGTTACTTTAGAATATCATGTCTAATTGCTGAGGTGATTTAATTTGCATATGTTTGCTTTGACCTTATTTGTAAGTGGTAAATGGTTATTCTGGTGTTTCTATTGGTGTTCCTTTTTTGGTATTTTGTATATTAATGAGGAGGCGAGTGAGAAAGTTTTGGAAGTGGAGCAGAAGTACAATGAAATACGCAAGCCAATCTATGATAAGCGGAATGAGAAGATTAAGTCGATTCTTGATTTATGGTTAACAGCTGTAAGCTCTTCTATTATTTCCTATCAATTTAGGGATTTTTCTCTTAAATCTGTCTCCATGTTGAGAAGAAGGATTTCAGTTAATTTGTTCTTTTATATACAGTTCTTGAGTCATCCTGCTCTTGGTGAACTTTTGAATGACGAGGATCAGAAGGTTTAATATCACTTCTTTCCCAAACTGAAACTGGTTCAGCACTTATATTACTTTGCAAAATTTATTTTTAGTTCCATTTATTTATTCATTCATTTATAAGAAGTGTTATGGATTTTCCTGATATGTAATTCTAGGTAATTTCTTTCTTATTTATTCATTCTTCTTATTTTCAACCTTTTGTTGCTTGATAGATATTTAAGTATATTAGCTCACTTGAAGTGGAAGATTTTAAAGATTTGAAATCTGGCTACTCCATTACATTTGTAAGTTTATTTATTTTTCCTTTTCTTATCTTATTCTGTAGGAAATTGAAGTTGCATTTTACATTTAATCATGGTCTAATCAGTCATCACAGTTTGTTGACTGGCTTTTGTTATATTTTTCAGAACTTCGATCCCAATCCATACTTTGAAGATGCAAACCTTACGAAGACCTTTACCTTCCTTGATGAAGGAACCAAGATTACTGCTACCAAAATCAAGTGGAAAGAAGGCATGGTGAGGGGTTTTTCTCTTGTCATGTCTACTCATGTTATTTGTTTCCTTTGGTTATCATGTTAAATTAGTTTCTAAATGTCAAGGGCTTGCCAAATGGAGTTGACCATGAAAAGAAAGGAAACAAGCGACAGTTTGCTGAAGAAAGGTTTGATATCATATTTGTCAATCAAATTTCTCCCCAGCCTGAGGACTTTAGTCACATAAAACCTGAGATTAATTTCTCTGTTGTGTAATGTAGTCACTTCATTTTTTTCTCAATAATTTTATTGAACTTCAGCTTATCATCTTATAAGAACCTTAGTTATTTCATGAGTCATCTTCCTTTTGTTATGTAAAGCTAAACCTTAGCAGATAGAGTTTTCCTTTTTTAGTGAAGACAAATTAAGATTACACATGCATTATGTATTATTGTGTATTGTGATTATAAATAGTATGCATTTATATGTTTCTTTAGTTTATTAAGTTGCATTATAACTTCTAACATGGTAGGAATTTGTTGTACTGCAAAGCTTGGGTCATTTATGACATTGTCTTGTATTTGATTTTGCCTCTTTCACTTAACCACCATCTCTATATTATACTAAATTTATTACACATGAATGCAGCTTCTTTACCTGGTTTTCTGATACTCAGCAGAAAGATGACATGGATGAAATTCATGATGAGGTAAACTCTTTATGCATGTGCTGTGTGAATGTAGGTTTGTCTTCTTTTTTTTCTCATTTTGTTAAAGAGTTGGCGCCTGGCCTAAGCTTTCACTTGATAAACACAACAGGTAGCAGAGATTATCAAGGAGGATTTATGGCCCAATCCCCTCACATATTTCAATAATGTAACTTCATTTCCTTTGGATTCTTCCCTCGATTTTGTTTTATACCATTTATGATCATCTTATGCTTCCTTTAATTTTTTTCATAACCTGATGCAGGATGCTGATGAAGAAGATTTTGAAGATGATGAAGAGGTACATCATCTTTTGCCTTCTTTTTTCTTTCAATTATAAATTCATAATCTTCCTGTACCATTTGTTCTTGCATGTTTTCTTTTAGGATAATGGCATGATGTAGGTTTTGTGGTCTTTATTTTAATATTTTTGGTTTATTTTTCAATAAAGATAGAGTAGATTGGTTTATTTTCATTGTAGATATGTTTGTAGGACATGCTTACTAGAGTTTAGCTTGTAGTTAAAATTTGAATTCATCAATTGAGTAATAAATTGCTAATAACAAAAATGTGAATATAGAGCTCCCTTACTAGGGTTTCTCAAATGGTTGGAAAGGATGCATCCTTTTAGTTTCAAGTATATGCTCATTTTCTTTTGTTGGAGCGGTTGTGAAGGTGACATTTGTGTGAGACATTCCTTCTTACTTGAGGTCCCAAATTCAATCGTACATTTTGTTAGATTCGATTATGGCTTGCTGCATAGTTGAGTCAAGTTCAAACTACCCCTGGTAACTCTATAGTTTGGGTTTCTTTTTCCAAACTAATTAAACTTTATGTTCTCTCTGGACCTGGAAACATAAACCGGCTAAAAGGGTGGAGTTGATCATGTTCTACCGTAAAGAATACCCAAAACTATTGTAATAAAACCGTCAGAATTTGTGGCTCATTTTCTTTCTTCTTATGCTTATTCCAGGTTGACAAACAAGGACTTCCCATAGGTTTACAACTAATAGGTCGTCCATGGGGTGAAGCTACAGTTCTACGTTTGGCTTCTGCAATCTAAGTATAAACAAGTTTATGTCCTTGAAAGAGAATGTTTTGAACTCTATATTCGAGGTTGCATAACTAATTATAAACAAAACGTCTCATGTTTCTAGGAACTTTGTATCAAATCCAGGAAGACAGTGCTTCATTCTATGACATCTCAAAGGCCAAGTAAGAGCCTTCATGGACTATGTTATATTGCAGATCCTTATGTTATCTCTTCAGAATCACCAATAACGATGCATCTCTAAACATCGTTATCTTATTTGATGTATCTTATGTGGAAAACTTTATTATGCCGTGATATTTTGTATCGACATATGATTACAATATTTTTGATAACTTAATGTTAATATATTGTACGCAAATGGATTGCTTATATATAATATGATATATATATTTAGTATTATGAGGCATTAAATGTGATTTAATTTGATTATTTGTCAATCTACAATATATATATATATATATATAATTTACGACATACAATCACGACACACGAATGTGTGTCATCTTTTCTAATAACGTGTGCTTCAATGACACGCAATGTAAGTCATAAATTCGTGTCATAAATTTATGACACACAAATGTGTGTCGTCTTCATTTATGACGGGGGCTTCAATGACGCGCAATGAGCGTCATAAATGTGTGTCATAAATGCGCGTCATAAATGCGCGTCATAAATGCGTGTCATAAATGCGCGTCATAAATTTATGACGCACAGTTGCGCGTCATCTTAAATTCATGTCGGTGGCTTCAACGACAGGCAAATGTGTGTCATCCGCGCCCATAGATGACGCGCAATGCGCGTCATTAAAGGGGTTTTTTCTACTAGTGCAACCTAACCTCGTGTAACGTCTCGGAGCAAATCTCAACGCACCAACCTTACATCGTATCCCTTACACATATATTTATCAAAACATATAGTACTCCTTCCTAGGCATGCCTTTCATATCACAGGTCCCATTAAGAACGATTGTCAATTAAGTCAAGTTTACCATAAATAGTTGTGAAGTGATGCATAACATATACATATACTTATTCATTTCAAAAACATAGTTTTCAAACTAAGGTGGTTGTCGTGATAAAAATAATAGAATATTGAACTATCTCCACTAATCTTGGACAGCAAACTGTCACTGCTCGTCCATAACTAAATTCATAATAGCTTGTAAACATAATTTATAAAATCATGTACGCATCATAAGGTAACATCATGCTCATGAATAGTCATGTTTAATCATCATCATCATCGTAAAATGTTCACATTAAAGAAATCAATACCAAAACAGAATGTTAACTTACTAGTTTCACTAGAATACTCACCATTCTAGCCTTCAATTAACATTACCAATGTTCATTATATAAGGACGAATAGCCACTCACCTCTACCGCTTTTACCAGTCGAAATCGATCCGAACTTACGCCAAACGAACACCAAACAATAGTACACAAATTTTACTCCTTCATATACCTAAATATGACCTTAGAAACTATAAAATAATGTCATCAAAGTGCTCAAAACAGAGCAGAAAAATCTGATACAAAACAGAGCAAAAGCGTCGATACAACCGAAAATCTTACCATTCTTGAACCCGAAACTTCCCGCAACTTTAATACAACACCCTTACACCTAAAAACGATCAAAAGCAATCTAAATAAGCTTCTAAACATCAAATAACCGTCCAAAAACAGAAGCAACCAAAATGATTCCGGAATTTCTAAAAATGTCAAAACCAAGCTTATTTTAAAGAAACCTATATGAAATCCAATTCCAATTGAAAAACTGTTTTAACCCAATAATTACCTCATCATTAACATATAATTTGTCATAAGAAAACCTCCAAATCAACTCAAGAAAGTTAGCTTTTGAATTTGTTCTGAAAATCCTTTTTAATCATCCAAGCACCAATATCTCTTTGAAAACTATTATCCATCAATATAGAAAGATCTCGCATAAAGGAACCAAGAAAATGATGTTTACCTTGCTTGAAATTGATTGAAGAAGACGAATCATCAAAGGAAGAAAATAAGGAACTCTTTTAAGCTAGAGTATTCCACGGTTAGGAGGAAGAAATGGAAGTTTGAAAATCAAATTTGGGAATGAATTTAATCAAGAATAAAATCAACAAAAAGGTTTGGGAGAAGAGAAATGAAGGTTTTAGCCATTGAAGAAACAAGAGGAAAATGAAAATGTTTTTGGATGAGTATAAAAACATTAGGGAAAAGTTATATTTAATTTGGCTAAAAAGAAAAATTAGATTAAATCATTTAAAGTAAATTAAAAATCAAAATAAAGAGTTTAAAAATCAAGAAGGGTATAAAAGTTTAAGTTTATAAAAAAATGAGAAAATAAATGGATAATATCAACTCTTGGTAAAATCGCTTCATAGATTTTGATAATCGATCCTATTTCATTTTGGCCACTAAAATCATATTTTTTTAAATCATTTAACCCGGATGAAAATAAATAATAATATTCTAAATAATTTCTAATTTAAAAATTCTAAAAATTATGAATTTTTTGGAAATCTCAAAAATTTACCAAGCCACCGACCCGAACTACTAACTTGGATTTCAGGATGTTATACTCCACCTCTATGGCATAATGAATAATAGTATGGAATTCACTTACTATGTTCATGTCAATTATACCAAACAATCTCAATGTACATACAATGGGTATTTTTATCAAATTCACGGTGAAATATTTCATTTTCACTTAATTTGAATATATTATAAAAACATCATTAACCACTTTTCTTTTCAACATATAAGCATCATATCCATCATATGATCAATATCGTAATCATCATAGTAATATAATAGAGTGTGCTCAATTTGAACATTTAAAATAGCATATAATCTAAAAATAACATAAAATGCATGATTTATCACAATATCCTATTATTACAGTTTGAGCTACCTGTAGAGAGTAAATATTATGTTTTTAAATACACACTTAAAATTTATTTCGTTGATACCATTAGAAATTATACTTAAATATGAATCTAACCATATAAAGTACTCTTTCTAGTTCAAACTTGTACTATTTATGGTGAATTTTCTAATCTAGCGTACAAAATCAGTTTTAAGCATAATTTGTTGTCCTGGTTTATGATCTATCATCGATTAAAAATTCATATCTTCTAACATACAGTTCAGAATAACTTTTTGTTTATTTTATAAAAACTAAATTGGCATAAAAATCAAATTGTATAAAAATCACTTTCTACTACCTTCAATAGAATTTATGCCAATTTTTCAAATTTACTATCAAGATCATAGAATCTTGGTAAATTTTATTATTTACATCTATAGCTTTTTCACTAATTCCATTTGCTTCTACATACAAAATGGACCTTTATGCATGAACCATAAAGTCAGATAACATTCAGGAGTCACTTCTTACCGTAGTGACTTAATCACTTATTCATCGCAAGCCAATGTTTCCACAATAACATAAATACAAGCTAAATATGCACTCACTTTTGTACTTTTTCCTTAGCTTTAAGTTTGCTTTGATCTTGATTTCGATCACAATCTATATGAATATCATTTACAAAACATATACATTTTAAAGTACATTTTAGTATCTTACTAACATATGCGCATAATTAGAAATAATGTCCAAAAATTTCTTTCGATCCTTTTTGGAAGAGATCGATTCTTTTTCACAGGGGAACGATCCTACGCAATGCAGTTGGTTTGGGATAGATCCATTGGGGCAAGATATCGATCATTTTTCTTGGAAATTGCATAATTTCATATGATAATGCAAAAATGAGTTGGTATACTTCCACTTAATCATTCCTAGGGTCCAAATACATACATGTACATGCCCAAAACAGTTCATACACATCATAATACACTTGTAGCATGCTTTAAAATACCAGTCAACGAATCATAATGAAAGCTAGCATATACTTATTTATCAAAACATATAGTACTCTTTCCTAGGCATGCCTTTCATATCCAAGGTCCCATTAAGAACGATTGTCAATTATGTCAAGTTTGCCATAAATAGTTGTCAAGTGATGCATAACATATACTTATTCATTTCAAAGGCATAGTTTCCAAACTAAGGCGGCTGTCGAGATAAAAAATAATAGAATACTGAACTGTCTCCACTCATTCTTGGACAAAAAACTGTCTCTGCTTATCTAAAACTAAATTCATAATAGCTTGTAAACATAATTTATAAAACCATGTATGCATCATAAGGTAATATCATGCTCATGAATAATCATACTTAATCACTAAAATACTTACCATGGTAGCCTTCAATTAACATTGCCATATTTCATTATAAAAGAACGAATAGCCTTTCACCTCTACCACTATTACCGCTTGAAATCGATTTGAACTTACGCCAAACGAAAACCAAACAATAGTGTACAAACTTTACACCATAATAGACCTAAATATCAACTTGGAAACCATAAAAGAATTTCACCAAAGTGCTCGAAACAGAGAAGAAAAATCTGATACAAAAACATAGCAAAAGAGTCGATACAACCAAAAATCTTACCGTTCTTGAACCCGAAACTTTCCATAACTTTAACACAACATCCTTACACATAAGACAAATGAAAAGCAATCTAAACATCAAATAACCATAAAAAAACAACAGCAACCAAAGTGATTCTCGAATTTCAGAAAAACTTCAAAACTAAGCTTATTTTAAAGAAACCTATATGAAATCGAATTCCAATTTAAAAATCTTTTTAACCCAATACTTACCTCATCATTAACATCTAATTCGTCATAAGCAAACCCCCAAATCAACTCAAGAAATTTAGCTTTTGAATTTATTCCAAAAATCCTTTTTAATCATCCAAAAACCAATATCTCATTGAAAACTATTATCTATCAATATAGAAAGATCTCTTTTAATCGGAAAAGCATAAAGGAACTAAGAAAATGAAGTTTACCTTGCTGCAAATTGATTGAAGAAGAAGAAGAATCATCAAATGAAGAAAATAAGGGAACTCTCTTAAGCTAGAGTAGTCCACGGTTAAGAGAAATGGAAATTTGAAAATCAAGTTTGGGAATATATTTAATCAAGAATAAAATCAACAAAAAGGTTTGGGAGAAGAGAAATGAAGGTTCTAGCCGTTGAAGAAACAAGAGGAAAAATGAACGTGTTTATGGATTAGTATAAAAACATT